GTTCATAACAGAAATACGTGAAAGCTACAAATTTAAAAGTCGGAAATAGAATCTGCCCTACCTTTGTTCAGACATATTTCCTGCAAATAAGAATAATTTCGAATCGTACGACAGTCCGCTGAAAAGTTCATAGGCTGACCGAGATATTATCATAGAATATGACCAAATGAGGTCCACACACTTCTTCCATCGGTGTTGCAATGCTTGGATTTCATTGGCGAAGAAACTTTCATCAGTTAGTCTAAAAAGACATCAACAACAAATATGACGACATCATCACTTTGATACTGGTACCCAACCATTTGTTTTTCATGAGTTTCCTTTTTGCTTCGGTTTTCTCTAAAACTTTATCGCTGCTCACATGTCAGGCCCATGATAATCTCAGCAATCTTCTGTCGAACAACATTTCTATAGCTTTTCGTAACTGCTTCATCGTGTTGGCATAATACCCTCCATTTCTTGTCTATTCTTCACAGCCGAGTTTCCGTCCGTAGAAAGATCGCAGTCTGGGTCGCCTTCTTACCGAAGACAGAGAGCTTGACAATCGCGTGTCAGACTGATTGACTCTGGGGACCTGGTTTTTACCCACTTAACACTGTAGACGAGATGAGACACAAGGTCGAGTTTAGTGTGGGGAATCCGAGTGCGTACACTTGGGTCAAAGGTCAAAATTCACCCAGCTAGTGCGGGATCGGGAGTATTTAATGTATTTTCTTCCCAGTCGAGTCTCCGCCCGTAGATAGAACCCCGACTGAATCATTTTCTACCCGAAGACAGAGGACTTGACAGTAGCAAGCCAGGCAACGGATTGCCTGACACTAGCGACCTGGTATTTACCTGTCGCCACCCTCCGCCTGCGGAGTAGATGCCACAAAAGGTAAAGTTTACTGTGTGGAACCTTTGAAGATTGTAGTTATCAGTGAAGCAGGGAAACAAAAGGGAGTTTCACAGATGGAGAATGCGAGAAAAGAAATTGTCGTATTAAAAATGGCTGGTTGCATTTAACTATTTCAACGATAAAAGCGTGGTTCCTAGATGCCAATCTAGCAGTACGCTTAAATACATGTACTCAGGGCACCAGGAAAAAAAAACCTCATTAGAGCAGTTGCAATGAATTCAGAGTTATATTTCTCCTATATTAGTTGCTTTATCATGGCGAAAGACCCCAGTTTGTTTTGCTTCTTACCTATAGGGTAAGAGAATGCATGCATTAATGCCTTCCCAGAGGATTTGTGAAAAAATGAAGGCCACTGAATGTTTGAACTCGGAACATCGAGTTCATTTTTGGCACAGATAAATATTACGTTAAATACTTGATAACAAGATTAATAGTTATAGGATTTTTTTTTTAATGTTAGTGGCACATGAAAATATCCGATGATGCCTGTTTACAGCCTTTTGCAGACCTTTGCTGAGGTACATTTGTTTGTTCAGCACCCACATTGCTCACCTCTAGTCTATACTGCAACTATCATGAGCGGACTATAGTTAAAGTTTCTGCGATTGCGTACCGTCTGGCATGAGCAACAGCCTGAACAAAGCCGGCACGCTCAAACCCTCGCTCACGATGACTTTTGACACAATAGCTGTGCTAGCACGATCACTTCGATCTAGCACAACCATCGACAGCACTCAAATAATTCCGTCAACCCAATTTGACACACAAGGAATGGATCAACCCATTCTAGGGTTTTCAGTTACTTTCCAAAGGTACCGCACTCTGGGATTGCCTCCTCCGGGCTGATAACATCAAGAAGTCAAATCGACCATGGAAAGATTGAAACCCGCGTCGCATGGTCGAAAGCGAACTTTCTAACCACTCGGCCACGTATCGAATTCACAGGAAAAACTGCGAACATTGATTTTCGATACATTAATATAGAATTCTATTCACTTCAGTCACATTGGTATATAGTCCAGACATGAGAAATTTAATACCAAAGGAAACTGAATACAGGTGAGGGTGCGTTAGTGTTACTTTTGTTAAACAACGTAAGATTCTACAAAATCAAAAAATCGACCTGATTATGTTCTTAAAATTGCCTTGTCAGATTTAGACTCCCATGTAGATGTCAAACATGGCGTCCAACTCGTTTAGTAATATCTAGATTATCGTCTGTATACAACTGTTTTCCCAAATCAGTTATTAAAATTACACCAAGGGAATCATTTAAGTCAAAGAAAACGATGCTTCATCAGATCCTATAGACTGGTGTTGTATAAGAGTAAGTGTCGTTGCCAACATTGTGGTTTGAAGCTAAATCGACAGTGTGCAACATAGGTGATTCCATTACTAAGTAGATCACGTGATCATAAAGGAAATGAATAAATAGGAAGTAGCATGATAACTATGCGATCAGGATTCACTCTTCTTGTCTATCCTCTATTGCTATACGTTCACTCTCTCTACTACTATACGGATTTCGATCCTCTGCTGATCATTATACTATTTGGCAGTTACTACTTGAACAATGTTACTAGTTCGGATATTATTGGAATGCGTTACTACTAGCATTGGCGTCTAGGATGTCTCGAATATAACGAGCATTTTTGGAACTGATAATAAGCTTTCGCTTGATATAGCAAAAGTGACAAGCAAAGCCGTCCAACATCACAAAAACTGGCTTAGAAAATAATAAAGTGATTTATCGAATAACAGATACTCCATCACTTAAAGACTTCCAGTAGCTGCATCAACAAATACGAATAGAACATGTAACTAGAAGAGAAATTATATTCAAGGTTTTCACAGTAGAAAAAAGAATGCTTGCTAGGAAACATCTACCAGTATTGGAAAGAGCTGTACAAGTTAGAGGGTATGTGATGTCAAACTTCCTGAAAAAAGAGAAGGGTTTTTTTTAAATTTGAACTGAAAGTAAAGGTAGCTGTTCAGTCAATAAATATCAAATGTTTTCTGTATAGAAACGGATAATTGTATGATTACCATATCATTTAAATGATAATTTAGACCCGGAATAAAATTTTACGGCAAATATAATTAGTACATGTAACTAAAAGAAAATAATGATATAATGAATAACTTAGCTTTCCACATTACTAAAAACAAAAGGTATGGAAGGAAACTACTATCAATATTAGAAAGAGTGATAACTGCTAGTGGGGGTAAGAAAGCTACTTTCCTGTAAAACTGTTTTAATAAAAATATTTTTTAAATTTCAACCGATAGTAACACTAACTTTACTATCAATATATGCCGAGTGTTTCCTGTATGGAAACACCTAATTTCACCATAGCCATTTCTATCTCGAACTTATTCCTCACAGGTCACGACGACACGATCTAGAAAACCACAAACTTCGATTCATCTCTCCATATCACTTTTTCATTGATGCTCACTTAAATCTGTGTGAATGCGGATTTCAAAGATCTTTTCTCACATTCTTTTCGGAGACTGGTCGCTTGACTGCTAAACCTTCGTGAAAGCCGTTCTTATTCAAGCTTCATCAAACTGCAGAACAATCCATTTGATAGCTGCCGAGAAAGATAGTTTTTGCTAGATTTCTCCCTGTCTTTGAATGAAATGGCTTCGAAAAAAATCTCATCAAATGTCAACAGCGTTTTAAACATTACTCTTAATTTGCTACGGTTTCTGATTTTAAAAATGTCTAAACTGCTTCGGCTCCCTGTCTGGATAACCCAATCGGAATGATTATTACGGCTTGCGAGTAATACTGCTGACGCATGATTATGATTTTAGGTTGCCCGAGATGTAAAATCTTTGGCATTTAGTATGGCTTCGTATTTCTTCAGAACTAATTACATCGATTATTCTGAAGTTCATTCTTACAGGTCGAACATTAAACTGATTGGTTGTTTTTGTTGAGAGGCATGTCAAACCGTATTGGTTATTTAATGCCGAAATTTAAATATGAACATTCAGAATTTATAAGTAATTCAAGGGAAAGACATTATATCATGGTTAAATTACTTAGATGCATTTTTTTTACCAAATACTCTTGCAAAATAAACGAGAAGGGATAATTTATTTCTCCTGAGAAATGAGATTAATCATAGCAAAATGTTTTGTTTTCTCTTTTGAAAACTTATGACATGTCCTTATTTTATTTTATGTATGACATAAAAGGTATGGATTGTTATTTATCTATAATAAATGTATCGTTGTTCATATTGCTATGAAACGTTTGGTAATTTATTTTGATAAAAAGATATTGCTTATAGCATCTAACCGGTGCTAACCTTCCAGGTCAGGATGGACCTGGGACCAACAGCAATTAAGAGGTGGTTAGACGCTCCTCAATACCTCCAATCTTCTGATCAGAGGCTATGTTGTTGAATAATTTTGTCGTCATACCCAGGACTATCGAACATTTAAAGAAGTACGTACTGATAAATGATCCAATGTTAAGTTTATAATTAAAAAACGAACAATTTTGGTATATTTCAGTGTAAACCTGATAGGAGAAGACAGTTTAAGAAAGATCACACGCATTACGAGTATTCTAATTGTCCTACCTGTAAATATACTAGTTTAGCGTACTGTCGGAAGCAATTTTGCAATTGAATTCGACATATATAATATTAAAACCTTTAGGATACCGTGCTTTTTCACTGTTAATGTTTAATAATTTCTGAAATGTTAACATAAACAAATTACACTCTATTCACCATTAACTATTTCAGTCAGTTAGGTGCTATGCGTGATTCACGAGGCAGATTTTTCCAGCAGGGTCATTTCTTTATGTGGTAGACCAGTTACCATCCAAGGCTATAGAAACCGGTCTGGCCTACTATTAACCCATAGCTTTGGGGGAGAGAAGAGGATTCATACCTTTGCCAAGGGTATTAGCACGTAAATGTATGTAATGGATTCGATTGGAATTCGAACTCGGCTCTCCCATTCCTCAAATCAACAATAACAGAGCATATGATTCTATATTTACTAAGACATCAGAAAATATAGATAGAGGCAATTCGGCCATCTTATTTTATAACATAGAAAACTGTTGCAGGATATCTAGCTAGCTGGCGAGATAGATATTAAGAGGAGATAGATAGATAGATAGATAGATAGATAGATAGATAGATAGATCAAATTGGCTTTTCTTATACAGGGCACGGCATAAATACTGACACAAAAGAAAAACTTATAACTCGTGAACATTTTATTAATCTGTTAAATAACAAGAGAAAATCTCATTCAATACGTTTCCCTTTAGCTTTCATCACACGTCGAAGTTTTTCGGGTAAGTCATGACGGCACGCACAGTTTTCATGGGTATTTTGTCCCACACTCTCTTCAGAGCTTCAATATTGTGGCACGGAGTAGAACTGCCCAGAACCAATGGCCAAGAGCGTTGATATCTGGTGATGAGGGAGGTCATTCGTCCTCGATGAAGCCAGTACAATTTTCTCTGCACCACTAATGTGACACACGAACAGTGTGGCTTCGTCTCTGTTGACGTGTCCAATGTTCACCACCAGGAATGGCATTGCACTACGGCTTTCGTGTACCTTCCAAGATGTCCTCTATGTACACTTCTTTGTTGACGTTTAACCCTTGAGGCACCAAAACAAGCGGAGACTTTACATTTTCTTAAATGGCTGCCCAAACCATAACTGATGCTGGTTTCTGGGTTATTGAGACAATTTCCTGAAGCGACAGGAACGGCCTGAAAACTTGTTGAAAGGACACAATCATTTTGATGGGAAATATCAGTTCAACGGGGAACAGTTTCTTATCTGTGAAGATGATGTTTTGCAGCGTGCCACCAAGAATCCGTTTAAGCAACTGTTTACTTCTTTGAAGAATTTTAAAAGAATTTGTCTCTTTGTTATCTTGTACGGCGACAGCTATAGATCATTTCGACATAGTCCCCGCATGGTGCTCACCGATGTTCCGGATTCCTTAACCAATTTTCTCATTGACCTTCTTAGATTACGCCTGATTTTTGCACGCATCTGTTTAATAAGTTTGGGCTTTCTGGAGGACATCCAGGTCTCGGTCTTTGATGATGGATGTATCGATCGATTGTCATTTTGATAAACATTCTATTTATTCCAAGTTGTTTTCTATCTTCAAAAAGCTCAGATGGAGTCAGTCCGTTTTCATGTTGCTCAATTATATCTTTCTTTTAATTTCTATAGACATTGTGGCCTGTAAATACTTTGAAACAAACACTTTGAAAAAAACAAATTGAATATCTTGTTGGGCGAACCATAAACAACAATGTAATGACCAAAAATTTGGGATTAGAATTCAATTGAAATTTGGTAACAACATTTATCCAAAATCCTATATATGTATTATATTTGACTTGCAGAACTTCCTACTTAATGTATTATTGTGATATATTTAAATATGTCTATTATTAGAGCCGCTTAGTGTCTGTTGGATTTTAATTCATTCCACCGTACACAATGATTTCATTCATATAATTGCATATACGTACATATACATACACCACCACCCAGGCAAAAATAAAAAAGCACTCTCAAATTCATCTCTAATAGAAAAGGCTCTATAATGTGTGTATATGTACGTAGAGATATATATGCCTGGACATGTATAAACGTACATGCATGTAAAAGTATACAAGAAAGGCTCTAATATATGTATATACCTGGGTGCAAGTATATACATAAAAAACACTTAACACTATATAAAAATGTAATTATACATACACACACACACACACACATATATATATATATATATATATATATATATATATATATATATATATATATATATATAGAGAGAGAGAGAGAGAGAGAGAATGATAATAAGAAGACGGGGACTTCAATTATTCAAATCGATTATAATTTATTTTGTGAACTCCGTTGTGTTCAACTCTTCAGATAGAAATCTCCACCGTAAAATCCACACAGACACACACACACACACACACACATATATATATATATATATATATATATATATATATATATATATATATCGCACATAGAGTGCTAGTGTTAATAAAATAATGCTCCATGTAATATAACAGAACTATTAATTATATATTGATATATACATATTAACACTCACCGGTTATTGATATATATATATATATATATGTGTGTGTGTGTGTGTGTGAGTGTGTGTGTGTGTGTATGTGTGTGTGTGTGTATATATAATTATTTATTCGAAAATTATAATATAAATATGTTATAAAATCACTACAAAAATAACTATTTTGTTTCAACACTTCTAATGTCTTATCAAGTTGAAACGAAATGGCTATTTTTGTGGTGATTTTATAACATATTTATGTTATAATTTTCGAATAAATAATTATATTTGCTCAACTTTGTATTGACCACTCTGTTAAGAATAGTATTTGTTGGTTATTGGAATTTATTCCGCATACACCAATCCTATTCTTGGGTATATATATATATATATATATATATATATATATATGTGTGTGTGTGTGTGTGTGTGTGTGTGTGTGAGTGAGTATGAATTTTGCGTAATATTGTATACATACTTTTGTGTGTACGCTCACACCGTGCGCATTTGCTTCTGTAAAAGATGTTTGAATGTTAAAATACTGACTTTGCCAATCGGGCCTTATGCTTTGTGTGTGATTGGCTAATCATAAAATATGGTAAAGATTTTATATGAACCAGCCACTGTAGTGTTATATCAGATTTGCAACAAGTGGTCCGATCATGTAGAAAATTCTCACCTTTATCTAAGTCAGCTATCGAATCAACATTTAGCTCTTAAGTGCATTTGGCACTATTTGAATGAACTTGATTAAGCAATCAGTTTTATCGACAGCCCCTAATATTATTCATGCTATGTTCACGGATTCGAGTTGTCCTCATGTCGCTCGTATTCTCATTGTAATAAGAAAATTCCATTCAGACAGTTTTTTTTAACAAGAAAGCTAATTTGTGAATCAGACTCTTGCTTCATTACAATATTAACCTCCGCATGTTAAGAGTCAATCATTATCTATTCCCATTATCTTCATAATATTCACTTCCTACCACTTCCTCTTCCATTAATGTCAAACACATCATTCACTAACTCTCTACATTGAGTTTCTCTTGTGTATTTTATTGGGTGAACTTTAGTATAAAGGAGGCAATCTTGACTGCGAATACTTTTTTCTTAAAAGTTTGTTTCTTCACTAGCATGCACTTAATTTAATATGTGTTCTACTCAAAGTAAGTCGAATTATTCTCTCATATTTTTGTATTGTTGACACAAGAAAATGTCCGAGAGCCACTCAAGATAGAGACTCAAAGAATGGGGCTGTTGTAAGGGTAGGTGTATAAAGAGGGATTTAATAGGCGTTTATTATGAGGAAATTTAGGATAGATAACAGTTGATTCTAGACTAGAAGCGGTTAAGATTGTAGTGGTGATTTTCTAAACGTACCTTAGATGTGGCTCAAAGCCGAAAGTAAGAGGGATCGAACTCACTACTCAGCGAGACAAGCTTGCTGACCATTACACCACGTCGAGGCGTCCCGTTTAAAATTGTAGTGATGGAGGAAGCAACATTTCAGGAGTCAGTTCCGCAACGTAAAATTTCTTAGCAAGAATCTACGTGAGTGGAACTTCTTCCTTGCAAATGGAATATGAATGGAATGGGGATGAGTCCTAGATATGAATGTTTGGGCTTTTGGAACTAAGGAATACAGATCGTCTGAACATTTTTTATGAAAATAGCGGGAGCGTAGCGAGAGTCGAGTAACGTTTCGCTTCTTTTTTTTTTTTGATTTTTTTTTTCTATTTTCATCTTTTTTCTTCTATTTGGCGTTTCTTTTCAGAGCGCAGGATTATCATGGCCCTCCACATCATCTTATCCTTTTCTAGCTATTAATAAGTTTTGTCTTTTTGTTATTTCTCTCAAACCCTGTTCTACCATCCATTTACTCAAGCTCATCAAGAATGTTAGGCGCTTCTTTCTTCTGTCCCAGTTTCCTTTAATCTGTCCTGTGTGTATCACGTTTTCCAAGCCCTCCTTTCGCATTACATGTTCCAGAAATTTCAGCTGATTCTTGCTGATGTTCATTATAAGTTTTCTTTTTATTTCTTTTTTCTCTGAAACCTCGTTTTGCTCAAATGTTCGGTCCTTGTTAATCGCAGCATCTTTCTGTAGAACTACATTTCTGTTGCTTCAAGTCTTTTCTTCATATTTGATTTCCCGGCATTAGCTGCCATACAGCATGACAAATATCACGTAAGAATTTCATACTCTTTTCTTTGTTTTTAACAAATTTTCCCCGTCTTTTAATACTCTGCTTAGCTTTCAGAAAGCATCTTTGGCCATCTCAATATGTCTTTGGGTCTCAGTGTCGCATTTTCCGTCCTCTGTTAGAACACTTCCCATATATTTAAATTTCTATACTTGTTTAATTTTAGTACCAGTGATTTGTAATTTGCATTTTGTGCATTGTAGTTTATACTTAGCCCTTTCTTCTCGCTTTCCTTCGCTGTAAGACCTTTTGTAGATTCCTTTCCGTGTCTGGTATTAAAACTGTCATCTGCATATCTTATATTGTTAAGATTGTGGCCACCAATAATGAACCCCCGTAGAACTTCTAATGCTCTCAGAATTATCACGCTGTCTAGGTTGAATAAATCCGGTGAAATGATATTTCCTTGTCTTATACCCCTTTCTATTTTTGTATATCTATTGAACTAATTTTCTGTCTATTGTATCGTTGAGGTGAATGATGCACAGAGAAGAATGAAAGCTTAATATATTTATTCAGCACCAGTATCTGTTGCTAACGGCTGCATACAAAAAACACAGAAAAATAAGTTTCAAAACAATTAACAAGACAACTTACAAGGAATAGAGGAGGGTCAAATGCTGTATAGCCAAACGAAGAAAGATCAGTCCGAACATTAATCAGCTTAATATCAACTTATTAATCAACCGCTGAATTTCTTTATCTTAGACTATTCAAGGCTATGAGCCAGGCCATCTGGTACAGTGCTGAAGGGGTGCTAGTTACTCTGCAACACTGCCCGTATTGTAATATATTTCCCGAATATGCCAAGGTGGCTGAGCAGCTCTTTTTTATAGTGTACTTTATCAAACGCCTTTTCAATTTTCATATTTCCCTTTCAGTTATATATTTGCTGATTCGATGCATTGGAA